CCGGCATTTACGGTATTTTTGTCTAAGACATCAGGGCAAAAAAATACATACATATATAAAAACAATAAAACTTTATAATATTATATATTGTACTTCTAATTATCTTTTAGACACTCAAACTCATAGATTTATTATTTTAAATAATCCCATAGTTTTTCAAGATTTTATGAATGTTTTACATGCAGGGTAACATTCTTTTAAGATAATTCAAGAAGATTTTCTTAAACAATACACCAGACCTTTGTAAATAATTTGGTCATACTAAACTATAGATAAATTATGTTAAATTATGTTGACCTCTGACTCCTTTCTTATAACACATAATGTATTGTTATATAAAGGATTGCTGCATTAAACAGTTTTTAGCTTGGTCAGTGGTGGGATTCAAATATGTGAACAACTAGTTCTCTGTGTGGATGCCGCTTCTGGTAGTCCATTCTGGGCCTGGGCAACAGAAAATTAGTTACTGGTTCTGCCAAATTGGTGCAAACTGGCTGAATCCCACCACTGAGCTTGGTTAATTATGAGATGAAGTAATTCAAGTAATTTAAAAATAAAAAAGTTGATTTGTTTTCTACTATTATCCTGTCAGTGATAGAAGTGGTAATGAAATAAGGGGCAGTCTTCTGCTGCATTACTATAAAGACACCAGTTTAAAACTTGTTCTATAAATAACTGACTTATCTACTTAATATAGCTCTTCTGTGATGTAAATTCAATGGAAATTGCTCCAAGGTAAATGTTTAGGATTATACTCTATGATTTTCCCCCATTACAACCTGGAGGAGTTAGTCATATTGATGATTAAACTCCAGGCTACATTATTTACAAATAATGCCAGAGGCAACTACCTGCAGCAGCCCATCAATTTGCCAGAAGACTTTTTCGTATCTGTAGCAAGATAGCATATTATAAAGAGAGAATATTATGTCATGATAGCTTTTTGAATCCCTAACTATTAGCCTACTAATTGGGATGTAATAAACACTGATCTAAATCTCTGACCCTCCCTGCCCCTACAAATTTCAGTATAACTATTGGAATGGTCACAAGTTTCATAAATATTGGGAGAGGATGAATAGCTAAATATATATTGGGGGAGGGGCTGGCATAAAAACTATTGCAATAAATTTTAAATAAAAAAAAACCCTTCTCCAATGAAAATGTAGCAGTGAAGTAGACTGGCACAAGAAAGGGAAAATTGCTAAAAATTGACCAAGTGATCAGAAGCCATATTTTCTTACAAGTCTATCCTCCATCTTATTAATTTTATTAATGCTAAATTGATCAAAATAAAACATTTATGATGTATGAAGAGATTAATGAACTTGTAATAAGACAGAGACCTGGAAAGTTGGCTACAGTGAATGAAGGCAAATATGTTTGTCCCACGATAATGTTGCAGGATTCAATCTGGGTCAGTCCTGGGACCAGAGATTTAGTCTTCCGAGCTTTCGGACTCGTGCTGGAGCCCATCCTGAGGAAACTTCTCTCTCACCAGAATGTGTGCTTTGAGTTATTCTATGTGTAATATTTATGTGGTGCCTGGTTGTATGTGGCTTTTTGATCATTGTTTGGAGTGTTGATGGACAGTTATTAAGTCATTGGCTGTTCTTTCCTTGTGCTGCCAAGTCCTTGCCTCGTAAATACCTGATAAGCTGGTGGTAAATCGTCACTCCTGTTGATTGACAAGGGGCCACTTTTCCAGGCTTCGTTAATTTCCCTGGCTATTTTTCTACTGCTCAGCCAACAATCTTAATAGCTCACAGATTGTTCCCTCTTTTTTAGAACATTTTTGAAGGAATTGTTAGAGTAAAACAAAGAGTTTAAATAGTAGATCTCAGGAAACTCAGTGCAAATAAGAAAACTGAACATAGCTTAGAACTCATTCTTTTACTGTTCATATAGCAATAAAGGTAGCAAAGAAGGCATAGCATCCTTGAATAACCAGTGGAATAGTATTATATGGTTTAAAAACTTTTAATACCTATTGGAATAAATAAAGAATTGAAGCCTTCAGATACCTATTCTGACTTATTTGAAAAGCACTTTAGAAATAAAACTATTCAACTTTATGCATACATACTCTCCTTACATCAATTCCTTTGAAACTCTGATTACTTGAAGTAGTGTAAACAGATGTATATATTCTTGATATTTGGCCTAACAATTGTTATTTATGACCCCACATATACAGGTAGGGCTCATGTTATGACCATTTGTTCAGTAACTGTTTGAAGTTACTATGGAACTGAATGAACGGTGATTACGATTGGTCCTTGGAATTCCAGCCAACCCAGCACTTTTGTGATCATGCAATTTTGACTGGATGTTTAGCAACTTGTTCACACTTATGACCAGTTGTCAAGTGTCCTGCAATCACATAATCTTCCATGCTGGATTCCTCAAAAATTGAAGGGAAAGTCAGCAGGGAAGATCACAAATTACTGCAGTAAATCTCCCCTGATCATGCAGTCTTCTCAAATCCCTCTGTGTTTATGTTGCACTAGCCACTTGTGCATCCCCCCTGATCAGCCTCATGTACACTCCCCAACCCATGCAGCACTTCTCACAAACTCTCCTTGACCCATGCAGTGCCTCTCGCATCCTCCCTAATGTGCAGGGTGTCTCTTGTGCACTATTCCCAACACCCCTGCCCATTCCTTGCTCCCTTCCCCTGTTAACAGAAGCCACTATCTTGCTTATGAGCCTTCACCAATGACTTTGGTTGTGGGAAGGCAACAGGAAATTTCCCCATCTAATGATAGTGTGATTCAGTTAATGACAGCAACCTGGGCTGCAGGGATTGCTGTCAATAAACAACTTGGTTACACTTTACAATTGCATTCTTAATGATAGAAATTCTGCTCCCAACTGCCATTGTAATTCAAGGATTACTTGTAGAACACAAAACTGGTAGGAATAGCAGATACATTTGCCTTTTAGAAGGTAGCACATGCTCATTGCGGTGATTGTGACATTCTTTATAACTATTATGCTTTACAGCTTCATCGTTCTTTATAACCAGTGCTTTTTTTCTAAAAAAAAAAAAAAAAAAAGGTGCCGGAACTCACACACATCATACAACCCGCCTTGCCTATCCTACAAGGTTCCATCCAAAAAAGGTGCCAGAACTCCATTCTGGGTGTTCTATGAGAAAAGAAAGCCCTGTTTATAACTATATTCTTAAGGAAGGCATTTGAAAAAGTTGTTAACTATGTCATTTTACATTTATTTGATGCTTGTGAATCAATGCAAAGAATGAATGTCTTGGTTCAGAAATTTGTTATTCCCTTATTTGTTTCAAATAATAGCTCAGAAAATATCAAGTGATGGGACCATGTTGCACACAGCTGTCATAAATCTTCATTAACTGATTGGTACCATGGTATAATTGCCCTTCTTTTGTAGCAACACTACAATATCACAGCCAGTTCTACAAGAAAACCACAATCAGGGCTTTGTGATGCTAAAGACTGCTTTTGCTGTTTTGCATTTGTGTTTTCTTCACATGTTTAGTATCATTAGGGCAAAGATGAGCACAGTTTCAAGTTTCTTAATATGGGTATGCATTTTAAGTAACAAAATTCATTATAATAAATGTTTTGAATTATATAACTAGTTTTCCACTTCTATATTTGTAGTATGTAAAACATGCAGAAAAGAGGTTGTGGCATTTCTAACTACAGAAATAAATCTAGCTCTTATGTTACTCGCTTAATGATCCTTTTACTTTCATAAGGCCCACAAAATAAAATATTACCATCAGCTGTTCACTATGGTTGTTGCCCAGAAAATAAATCCCGCTTTCTATCGAGGGCAATATTGTTGTACAGACAAAATGTAAGGAGGATTAAAAATAGAGTGGCAGCTGCAGAATGACTTGACATAATGCTGTAAAACAAGTTAGCAAGAAATGAATGAGATCTGAAAAGCATTTAACATACAAAAATGCTACAGTATTTTGTTAAAAACTAATGGTTGGAATAGTTTTAGTGGTGCAGAACTACTGTATATAACCATGGCTTAATTGTAAAACGTAAGGAACATATTCTTGCCATCATCTTTCTTTCCAGCATACAATAGCTTGAACATCTGGAAAGCATCATGTTAGGAAAAAGTGGAGTATATCAACAACTAATCTTTTAAAATGTTGCATTTTCAATTCAATTGAAAATCCAGATTTTCTTATAACTAAATATATACAGAAGTTACATAAAAATGGATTCTGCTAAAATTACAGAGGAATTTGTTGTTGTCATGCTCTGTTGAGTTTTAACCAACTCCTTGTGATCCCATGGATAAAAGCTTACCAAGCCATTCTGTATCTCACACATTATGCAATTCTCGCAGGTGCATTTCTGTAGCTTCTAGTATTCTGCCTATGCCCTCATGCACTGTTAGTCTCTTCTTCTTTTGTCTATTTTGCCCAGCATAGATGCATCAGCTTTTTTGAAATGTCCAAAATATGATAGCTTTTATTTCATGATCTTGCTTCCAGGACTCTCTGCTTTGATTCCCTTTAGTACTGGTTGGTTCTCTTGGCTGTCCAAGGAATGCAAAACAATCTTGTCCAGCACCATAGCTCAAGGGAGCCAATCTTCTACCTTTTGCTTTTACATATCCCTCTCATCTGTATATCATAAGGTAATACTATGGGTATTTCATCTTTGTCTTTGATGAGATTGCCTAGATCTAATCTCCTACTTATAAGAGGGTATGCACACTTATGCAACCATATTATTGTAAGTTTTAAATTTTTCCTCTAAAATATTTCAATTTGTTTTTCAGTTCATTTGTATAATTTATATGTTATATTAAAGGTAGAAAAAAATTCTGGAATGATTTATCTTGGTCTGATTTTTTACATTTCCAAAACCTGGCATTTTAACAGGGGTGTGTAGACTTTTCCACTGTAGATAGACCTTTTCCAATCTATCAGCCATGCAGTTTTTCTATTTATTGGCAGAAGATTATTACAGTGTTTTTTGCTTCAACAGGTCTATGGGGATTTCCTATTTGGCAATGAATAGACATAAACAACATTTACACACTGTACAAAAGAGACAATCAACAAGTCACAAAAATGAACAAAAAGACCAAAAACACCTCCCCAGCAATCAACTCCCAGATGAGCAATACCAAGATTAACATCAGACCAACAATCAACAAGTAAACAATACTCCAATCAAGGAACTGCCAGTTAAGCTAACAGTAAACAACCCTCCAAGACCACTCCCACCAACACTGACAAAGCAAGCCACTGGAATATAAACTGAGAGCAAACCCCATTCCTTATTAGCACTGATGATGCTACCTAGTTTGGGTAAGGAAATGTCTGCAAGAAAACAAGCAAGTTCAGAGAGCACCAAAGACCCCTCATTTCAACCCTGAGCTACAAATATTCTCCTTTATCAGCCTGATGTCTGTTTCTGTGATTAGTAGTTGGTGGCCTGATCCATAGACATCAAATTAAAATGTTCTATACTATGGTTTTCCCAATTGCAATGTATGGCTGTGAAAGTTGGACCATAAGAAAGGCTGAGCGCCAAAGAATTGAGGCCTTTGAACTATGGTGCTGGAGAAGACTCCTGCGAGTCCCTTGGACTGCAAGGCGTTCAAACCGGTCAGTCCTAGAAGAGATCAACCCCGACTGCTCTTTAGAAGGCCAGATCCTGAAGTTGAAACTCAAATACTTTGGCCACCTAATGAGAAGGAAGGACTCACTGGAGAAGGGCCTAATGCTGGGAAAGATTGAGGCAATAGAAGAATGGGACGACAGAGAATGAGATGGCTGGATGGAGTCACTGAAGCAGTAGGTGTGAACTTAAATGGACTCCAGAAGATGGTAGAGGACAGGAAGACCTGGAGGAACGTTGTCCATAGGGTCGCGATGGGTCGGACACGACTTCGCAATTAACAACAACAACAACAACAAATTTGTTCTTTAAATGATCCATGTCTGTAGTTTGTCATTTTGATGTATGTTTTAATATAGGATCCAATTTGCTGTTTATTTATCAGATTTAAAAACTGCCCATATCCCTCACACTGCATGCATTGACAGCTTTTCGCTTTATTTCTAATTCCCAAAGTAATGTTGTTGCCACTTACCTCTTTCAATTTATCTAGCTCATTTTGCAATGCCTGTTTGGATATTTCCACTTCAATGATTTGTTGACGAAGAACTTCATTTTCATCCTCTGCTTTAGCACGCTTTTCTTCCACATTTTCCAGTTCGTGGTGCAGCCTGACAGATACATCTTTGGCTACCTATGTTTTTTTTAAAGCATACAATCATACTTAATAACTTAAAAAGACTTTTCATTACCTAAATAAAGAATAGATAAATGATGTTTTGAATCTACAAAGCAGTGTGGAATTAGTACATGGTCATGGGAAAATATCAACAAATAAGTGTTTTTCTCTTTTCCACTGGTTGAAGTGCTAGGAAAGGAACAAGTGCTCTTCCAAATCCAGTATAAGAAAACAGAGATCATAACAAATATGGCCAATTATTATATATACATTTCTTTCTCCAAAATATCCTATAAAAACTTTTAAATAAAGCCGTCCATTATCCAGACGATTTACATGTTATTTCTATAATACCTCAATTCTTTAAATTCTTCTGTTTCATTCTGAAATGAAAAGTGAAAAATGCTAACTGTAAAAATACAATTATGCGCTAATAATCACATATTATTAGTAATAATAGTAGTAGTAGTAATATATTAGCATTAAACAAATTTAACACTTGAAGATAGTATTATCCACAATATTCTTAAATTAATTATCCCACAATATTCTTAAGTTAATATAAACTACACGGTTAAGTTCTTGAGGTATTAAAACCAATTAATATTATATTTAGTATAACATAATAAATCATGTAAAATTTTGTTTCCATTTTTTTCAATTAAGAAAATATCTGTATTATTACAGAGAAAGTACCTATCACAATAAAGTAGAAAGGAACCTTGCTATATACATGTAGTATTTTGTTCTTCTAATAACACTTATTCAGTACAATTTGGAGCAATGAAAAAGTATTTATTCAAGCAGTGAAAAACTAGGGCCAGTTCTGAACCATTTTATAACACAGTCCTTCAAAATGCATATAATGAAAGGGATATTTCAATGCTACTTCACAGGAACATTTTCCTAAAATTAGAAAGGTAGCACCTCATTTAAGAAGTGTTTCTAAGTTTTAAAGTACAATTATACAGTATTAAAACATGCCCTTTTACATTATTTATTTTATATATTTCCATATCTCTTTAAATATCTTAAAACAATATCATAAAATTATTAAATATATGTTTTAAAAAGATTTAAAATATTTATTAAAAAGTGAACAAAAGGAAAAAAACAGCACAGAATTATTTACCCAACATTCATAAAAGGAAAATCTAGGCAAAGAGACTGATCTTCAACTGAATATAAACATGTAATATTTGTTGCCTTACAAAACTTTGATGAGAATATTGAAGAGTGCAGACACCACCATAGAAAAAGCCTGTGAGAACTGCACTGTGTCTGAGTATATGTAGCAGGCTTTCCTTTGATAAATTTAATGATAGGCCAGACCCATTAATTATTGTGGTCTCAATGGGGTTGTTGTTACAGTATGGGAAAACAGGAGAGAAGAGCATTATGAATACTGCCTTGAATTGTGGAAACTAAAGGCAGAATATAATTCTAATAAATGAATACATGAATTAAGTTATATCAATATATGAATAAATGAATTAAGTTATATCAATATATGAAAATCTAGGTTAAATCTGGCTTGGTAACAAAGTTATCAAGTGCAGTTGTTTCAAAACAAGTTGAACAATGTGTATGGACAGGTGCCTCAGTCAGCTACTTCATTGTTCTAGACAAGGTACTGTTTCAAAAGGGATCCAGGTTTCCCATATAGAACACATTACAGTTATCAAAATGTGAGATGACCAATACATAAACAATTATAGCTTGGTTGTCCTATACATGAAATAGCGTACCTACTATAAGTAAGACATTTTTGTCATTTTGTCTTTCAGAGTTATGAGATTGGGGTAGTATAGAAATCAAGTTAATAAATAAATTGACATTTACAATACAAAGAACTTGACTCCCATATATAAAATATAATTCTCATTCTAGTTCTGAAATGTCAAGATAACATACACTTTTTCAATTAGGCAGAAGACTTTATTCTGCCTAAATACCACTAAGTCTAAGTTCTTCACCCACCTTTAGATCTTGTTCTAAGCTTCTGATTAGTTCTCCATCCACCTGACCCGTCTGTGCAACTTTCAAGCTTTTCTGTTCAGCTTTCCTGAGACGATACTGCAAGATACGACAGTTCTTGTTTGCACGATCCAGCTCTCGTCGAAGTTCCTGTAGTTGGTAAACATCGTCTTCAAGATAGCTGTCACGCATCTCTTCCATTTCAGCCCGGAGTTCATCCAGTTCGTCCTGTCATAACCCAAAACAATGAGAGAAATCCAAACGGTTACTTATTTCCCACTGAAAGACATGTGCTTTTTGTTGGATTTGTATCATAATATTATTTAGAGCTATTGCTCTATCTCTATTTACTGTGGAGATTACAGGAAAAATCCTGTTGAAATTATATTAAAAGCATGTTGAAACAATTTATAATTTCCCTCTTAAGAAATAATAATAAAAAACAACAATATAGCCCAGAGCAGAAGTGTCAAACATGCAGCCTGCATGTGGCCCACAAAAGTCCCAGGTGTGGGCTGAACTGGATTAAAATGCAGCTGGGTAACATTTAAGAAAATACAATAAAAATATAACAAAATATAAACATTACGTTTTAAAACTAAATAATTAATTTAGTCACCAATCACCAAAACTCTGGGCTTGCAACTTGGCAAGGAGTCCTGCATCAGCTCCCTGCCTCAGCTTAATACCGTAGCAGCAGCAAAGATTGTTGCCATAGTGGAGGCTGAGAAAGAGCACCATGACGGGAGTTCCCTCTCAGTCTGCTCTGCAGAAACCTCAGGTATGCTGGGCTGCTACAGTTAAGCTGAGGCAGCAAGCTCGTGCTTTTCTCTGAACAGCAGGTAGCCAATTGGTCTTGAACTAGGGCAGGGGTTCTCAACCTTGGCAACTTTAAGACTTGTGGACTTCAACTCCCAGAATTCCTCAGCCAGCAAAGCTTTGCTGGCTGAGGAATTCTGGGAGTTGAAGTCCACAAGTCTTAAAGTTGCCAAGGTTGAGAACCCCTGAACTAGGGGCTGACCCACTCTGGACCTCAGAGCCCCCAGAGCATAAAAGCAGACTGAAGTAATTTCTCTACTCCCTTCAAAAAAGGTTGAATTAGTATCTGTTCAGGCTGCATGACATTCGTGATCAAAATTTCAATTTTTAAATTAATAATAATTAAAAGTTAATGAAGTTCAGAATACATCCAGGGAAGAAGGAACAAACAGGGAAAAATGAAAGAGAACGATGATTCAAATGCATTTTGTATGTTTTCCTTTTTATTTTTATTTTCATTAGTATGGAAGGAGGGAGGGAGGACTAAATGCTTAGAAAATATTGACTGCAGTTATAAGTGACTATGACTTTATATTATAATCTGTAGATATGTACATTTGGTACAGTAGTTAAAGTGTCAGATTAGAAACTTGGAGATGATAAATTCCTAGTCTTGCCTTTGGATGATCTTAGTTACTTTTCTCACCCTTGGGAAGAAAGAATTTTCAAGTCACTTCCGAAATATGCTGTCAAGAATAGTGCAAGAAACAGTTGCCAGAAATCCAAAATGACTTGAAAGAAAAATTTTCCAGCATGTATATCATATACTATAATACTTTCTATGTTTTGTACTTTAATTAAGAAATCTTCTTCTTCTTGTGCCATATCCGCTATCGGATGTTGGCGATCATGTTGGCGATCCTGTTTTTATCAGCAGCTGCATGAAAAAGTGCATTAAATACATTAAAATTTTAATATGTCATTATTATATATATTTGCAATTTACTCTTTGCACAATATTCTTGTACTGTGCTACACAAATTTGTACTTGGTTTAGAAAAAGCTGGACAAAATATTTTTTCCCCACATATGAGATATCAGAAAGTAGAAGGAACATAGCAGAGAGGATATAAGTTGAAGTAGGAGGTGTGGAAATGATTTGTGTGATAATTTGGCAGTAGGCCAGGAAGAAGCTCAGAACGGGATGGAAAAGATTCCAGTCTACACACACAAAT